CTTCGGACACAGTGAAAGATACTGTATCTATATGAAACAGAAATAAGCCACGGAATGATCAGCCTATGAGGATGAATGTATTGATAGCAACTGAAACAGCCACAAATCTTTGATCCATGTTTCATAACTTAACTGAAACCGTTAATTTACATTTAACCTTTAACTGTAGGCTGCAGCACAAGTAGGAAATAAGAACATTAAACACAGTTAAACAAAGCCGACTCACCGTAGAAGCTCAAAAACAAAGAAAAATGTCCAACAAGAAAAATCTGCACCACTGTGAGCCGTTCCACAGGCAGACCAGGTGGGTGATGAAACCGCACAGAAGACAGATCAAAACCAAATCGTAGACGAAATGCAATGCAGCCACGTCCGGTGGAAATGAGGGATTTGGCTCCTACAGCAGCAGTGCTTTAAAGAAACACCTTCTAACCTTAAGAAGGTTCCTAAGATGGATTTCATGATCATCTGAGGTACTTTTAGGAAACACAGCCGGCTCACAACAACCAAAAACATTTAAAAAATAAGTGAATCAATTAAACAAAACAAAAAAAAAAAAACAGATTGATCTACATGAGCATTAGTGGAACCTCTGACAAATGAAATGTGGCTCACATCTGATTATATTCTAAATATTCCTGGTATAAACCTATCCAGTTATCCAATGTCATAAGGTTGTACTACATTAGATTACTGTGCTGATGTCTACAAAGAGCTTTTCTTTCTCAAAAGGTCCTTAAACATGAGCCTTCTTTATAGCCAAGAGAAAAACTGTCTACTGAAGAAGTGTATTGATAAATTATGTGTGTGCCTCAGGCTGCATGTTTGCAAGACCCTCCTGATATCAGGTAAATCACACACAGGTTCAGCAACAAAATGTGAGCGTGTGGTGGGAATCAATTTCAAATAAATCATACATCAAAACGAGAAAGGAAGAGAAAGGAAGAGAAAGACGGAACATAGATCGGAGAGATTTACAAAGGACCTCTGCAGGAAGGTGTAATCTGCAGATGAAGGAGAGAAAGAAGGGGAAGAGAAACACAGAGACATCAGGTGTGTCAGCTCGTCGGGTGAATGCACATTCAAAGCTGGGCCTCACTCAAGGCCCACAGTCAATTTCCTTCCTTGTCTCCTTGAATCGCCTTTAACAAGGTGGAGGTCGGACAAACAAGACGCAACATCCTGCACAGGAAATTACAGCAAACAGCAACAAATCTAATATTCATTTCACACCTGCAGTCTAATGTCAGGTACATTACAATCGATAGGCAGGTAGTGTGCCAGGCCTCGCTCTGTCCACCACCTCCTGCTCTTACACTTCAGACACCTGGAATAACATGCAAATATCACCAGAAGTTATAATGAGAGTGCCATTATAATACCTACAGTATGCTACTGTGCTACTGGGCTGGGCCGAAGATTTAATGTCAGAAATAATCTACAAAAGCTAAGTTATACATGAGGAAGACCACTGTAGTGGTTAGCAATAAGTCAGATTCCAGAAGAAATATGTAATAGAACAGTATGTAGCTCATATAGACCTTATGTGGTATTAGCTTGTGTAAGGGAGAGCTGAGTGATTATGGGTTTATTAAGTTCATGTGAAAAACACAGTTCTATCCAAAACACTGTTTGGTTTAGTTGAGCCGCTTTGCAATGTAAGAGAGGAGGAGACGGCACAGGAACGAGGGCGGGGGCAAGTTAAAGACAGGTGAGGAGAGGCAAATGTAAAATACTATACTGTGTGACGTAAGACAATGTGATGGATAGACAAAGTGTGGAGAGAAGAGAGGGAGGTCTGCGGGGGGCGGGGGGTGAAGACAGGTGAGATTAGCAAAGACAGCAGAGGCGAGATATGAGTCAGGTAGGTGAGGTCAGCGAAAGGAAGGAAAGGAAATCAGCAGCGGTCGACACAAAGCATTCGGAGGAACTTACAATTGACTTGTTATTTTAATTCCATGTGAGTTGATACCTCTATTTACTACACCAGAGGGAGATACTGTTTACTCCACTTCATTCAACTAACACAGTTTCAGATCAAGACTGCACTTAAAACGTTTGAACTCCTGAATAAACATCTTGTGTAGGTAGAGCCCCGTGTCACGTTTCTGAGACGTTAATGAGAAGAAGACAATTTCATTCCAAACTTCCCAGACGACTGTAAACAAGCAGCACGTGACCCCTCCAATAACCAAATAGTGGAAATTTGACCCCAGTGTTCGGACTAAACTAGATAACAACATAAAGAGCTGTTAAATCTGCTGGTGAATCATCAGTGTTACAAATCTAACGATCACAGCCAGGTTCACATTTCAGTCACAGGAGACATTTGATTCCACAACCACTATTTATACTTTTGATACTTTAAGTATATTTTTCTTCTAATACTTTGGTGAGATTATGGACGTGGGACAATAAATTTGTACATTGCCGTGTTGGTACTGGTACAGAATGGGAGAAGAGAGGCCAAAAACAAAGGACAGAAGCCAATAGAACACTGGAGGCAAATAAGGAGGAGTCAGGAAAATAAAGGACCCGAGGACATGATCAGACAGGACAGGTGTAAAACACAGCAGTGTTATAACTTCATACTCGGTGCCCGCTGCAAATGATAGCAGAAGTACAAGCGTGAGGGAAGCTGATGACAGATGAATTGTAAAATGAATGAATGCAGGGAGGACAGACAGCTGCAAAAACGACAGAGAGATGAATGTGCGTCACCTGATGTGATGGATTAATGGATCCAGGGAGGTGAGCTAGGACAGGTAGACAAGGACACTGGGGGATGTAAGATGGAGCTAAGCAGAACAGGCCAACTCGCCCTTTTCTTGCAACTACACACACACAGAAACACTCAAACCCACCCACTCGCACTTAGAAAACAAAGGGCCGTAGAACTGTTGACCTTTTAACTTGATTTCCACAGTAATACAAATGCTTGGCGAGCCATTGAAAGAAAGAGTGCCTTTTCAAAGGAGCAGCTTGAGACATCGGTGGGATGTCTGTGTTCGATATGTGCCTGCATGGCTGACCTTTCCCTAATGGGCTGGGCTACTAATGCAGCGACAGCGCGTACTCGAACACTGTGGTGCCGTTAGAGGTTCAGCATCGCTCAAAGGAAAGCCAAGAGCTGTACTTGCAGAATTTCAGCTCTCTTTTGTTTATGAGTCCTTTCTTGCTTTTATGGTTTTTATTATGGTTCTTTTCAGTTTGTCCTTTGAGGATTTGTTTGTGTGGTGGTGTCATAAAATAGGAGAAAAAGTCATTCTCTTTCATTCTGTGTGTCTTTTTTGCTTCTTTCTTTGTGTGGATATTTTAGACCCAGGAAGATCAAAAGAAGCGCCTGCAGACACAATCAGCACCCCCTGACACCAGAATATATCAAAGGGAATTCATACTCACCTACAGACTTCGGAGCCTTCCATTCATGTGTTGACTCCGACAAGTTCATGTCTAAATCTGACCTTCCTCTAACTTCAGTCCTACCTATACCTCAGTCTTGTTTTTGCACTGAGTTAATTATGAAGCGTTTTCCTCAACAGATGAACGTTACCAGGACTTTACTACTGTTCCTTCTGTAAGGACACAAACGTGTGTGTGTGCTGACACGCATCACATTAAAGCTAGTCTGCCAAATTTCAGCCTAGACCGTCTCATGAGCTTCAAAACAAACTCACACCATAAACCACACCTAACTGCTCTCTGGCCCCACCGTCCTGTTTGCTGGAGCTACAACTTAAACTACAGATGCCTGGTTGGTACAAAATGCAGCGTCCAGTCTGAAGCTAGCGTTAGCTGGCCAACAGTAAATGTGTCAGTCCAGTAGGATGCTCTGGTTACTACTGATGTTATACAAAGCACTGACGTTACACAAAGCTCCAATTCCTCCCAAATTAAAATCATATTAACTATTAGAAAGTCACTTTCGGCTTTTCCCGTTTTTTAGGGGTCGCCACAGCGAATCGTCACACTGACGACTCGCATGTTGACATTAGGCACGTGTTTTACGCCGGGTGCCTTCCTGACGCAACCCACTAGCCTACCAGGAATGACTTCAAATCATATTAATTTTGTTATATTACACAACCTTATGCTGGTTTACGGTTTGCACATTGAGAGCCGATGTACCAGAGTCAAATTCCTCGTGTGTCCAACACACCTGGCCAATAAAGCAGATTCTTCTGATTCAGATTCTTCTCCATGTCAAACAGTCAAACCCATGTTAACCCTGGTTGTTGCTCTTTCTTTGTCCCACTCTCTCTGTGCTAAAGACGCCACCTCTTCACTCTGG